TAACTCTTTATTTCACGTCGCCCAATCAAAGCTTGGCACAGCATCGTCCAATCCGAAATTGACATGGAAAACTACCCAAGGGTCACGTTCTTTTGCTTCTCTTTCTACACTCACCCTGACCCGCGAGGTCTAGAATGTTCTATTTGGCGCCCATACTGCATTGGGCCGTTTCAAAATAGGACAATTGCTAGCACTATTTGTTCCTTTTTTCTCTTCCTTTCGCAGCCTCCATCTTTGGAGTTGTAGAGGAAAAGCGTTTTTTTTTATATTTTAGAGACAATCCACGTTCTTCTTTGGAACACATTAGTCTCAAACTAGTAGGTTTGCTGATTATGGTGCGTATGCTGTAAAAATAAAGATAATATGGACTGATAAACTTAACCGATTAGAGAATAGGTTGAATGTGAAGAACGGCGGTAGAGTTGAGCAGGAGCTAATAATGCTTGAGTAATAGATGAAAGGAGAGAGAAGGTGCTGAGTTGTCATTCGAAAGGAGCAAGAAATATGTTATGCCTCTATCGCACTTGTAAGCCATAATTTCACTATCTGTACATACATTAGGCAACTAAATACAAAACCCAGCTACTGTAATCTTATCAGCAAAAATAAAGTCTAAAAAACAAAAATTCTTATTTTAATCTACCGAATCCAGTCAATCTGTAATACTCAAACTTCTACATTTAAGAGAATTATATGAGAAATCATAAGAGAGGAAGCCCAGAAAAAACGGGAATAAACGATTAAACACCGACCAGTCAATAGACATTCCGAGTAAGGAAAATGAACATCCAAAGTAAACAAAATAGAAATGGCAGAGGCTTCATAGTAAACTCATAAAAAGCGAAGTATATACAACTAATCTAAAAGTAGAGCGCACAATACTAATAAAATACAAAATTTAACAAATTTATCAACGGAAGTAAGCATTTATAAAACATTAAAGCCAATGAGGGGAAATATCACCCACAATTATCCAGAATCTCGATCCTTACAAAAATGGAAGATAAGTAACCAAATCAACTTATCAGCCACCCAGCACAAACAATAAAAATATACAACAAACAGCAGAGCCTAGGTTTGAATCATACTATTTTAATCTATTTTAAATTACATTCAACTCATAATAACCATATTCAGAGGAGTTGGTTCACGAGGCTATCAGTAAATCTTGCGGCTTAAGTCCAAAACGCGTGAATGTAAGTAACGTAGTAAATTTTAATGGCAAAACCTACGCTTGCTTCATCGACAATACCAAAATAGAATGTGATTGGGAGAGGCCTGTCCTTCCTCGAGATTTGCGTCTGGCCTATGACATGACGACCGGGGTTCTATTCCCATTGATGTTGCTGAAAAGGCCAGTTCAAACGAGATAGTAACTGCAGTCAGGTCTAATCGGGATAAAAATGCATGTTGGCAAGCCAGGTTAAGCGAAATTAAATGAAAAAGTGAGACCTGCACATGTTGTATTACGGTAAAAATGCAATAATCGGTCCTTCATGACCTTGCGCGACTTTGGGTGGCTGGATCTTTTGATGATAACCAAACATAATCCAAGCATTATATCAACCAATATCGAGATGAAACAAGATTACAACCTGACACTTAAAAAAAACAAAATACTTTGTTCGATGGTATGAAGATCAAGATGGTGTGGCCTTATGTGTGGTCGCAGTCTCCTTTCGTTGTATACAAGTTGTTTAACCTTGTTTTCGCAACTTGGTCGTGTTGGTAGGAAGACTTGGAGGGACACACCTTATCCGGAGTCCATTGCATACATGCTCATTTCCAAAGTTGAACCGTGGACGTGGTACATTCCCATACGTTTTGCCGGCATCGTCAGTGAGTATCGTCATTCTTGGCACCACACAACAACTCGTCAAAGAGACAAGTGAAGTCGATCC